ATTTACTGATCAAGTGAATATGTCTCATTTTCTATCAGCTATAGCTCAGATCTCACATTATTATACGATTGCTGATTGTATCTCACCACTAGTCTGATTGAATTCACAATCCCTGGTCAGTCCCGTTCCCTTACCTCTAATAATATTTAGGACCAGTTCACACTACATGTGTTTCAGTTGCTTTTTCGGCATTACAAACGCACAGAAGAAGGTTATATGGTTGTCAATGTCATAGTTCACATCAGCGCTTGCATTTTCAGTGCATTGCAGGTGCTGTAAACAAAGTTGACCACGCTGCATTGTTTCTGCACAGAACTGTACTGGAACACATTGAAACGTCCTTGAATGTACTAAAATGCACATGTCCCTAATTAAATTGAATAAAAAGAAAGTAGAAAAAACTAACTGGAAGGGATACAAAAATGCAATGCAACGTGTCCAAAACGCATCCAAAATGTACTGGAACACATTAAACATGCATGCCAAAAGGGCATGCAAAAACGCATCAGGAACACATCTAGACTGTTTCTATAGTGTGAACTGGCCCTTAGGACTTGTTCACACCATTGGTGGTGCAGAAACGCATGCAAGAACACACATTTTCCAGCACACAGCAAAGAAATGCAATGCCCTTTGCAGATGTGCGCGGTTAGATACAACACACTTTTAAAATAATATGCCTGCAGTATTTTTGCATGTTCCCACACATTAGGCAGCCCATTGAAATTAACGAGCTGAGGAAAAAAAAAAAGTAAAAAATGCCCCATTCACACAGGTCCTCTGGCCTGTACAGCATGAATGAGTGGGTTGTTTATGTGGCTAGAGCCACCTGTTACACTATGGGGACCCAGCAGCTGTATGAACACAGGTTTTTAATCTGACAGGTGTGAAGGCGTGGGGAAGTGGCCCTGAATACTCACTGTCTGTGTTCAGGGCTGTACTCCTGCACCCATATGCTTGTCAAATTATGACCTGCAGCAATTCCATAGTGTAACATAGGTTGCCTGCAAGCGGCAATAGCCACAAAAACAAACCACTGATTCCCACTCTACAGGGCACAGCACCCATGAGCCCCAAGACCTCAATTACACCTCAGTTGCACACAGAGCTTTATTTATGAACTCAGTACAGTTTTATCATTTAAATTTCACAGGAATATGGTTGGGATTATGTCCATTAATTATGTTTTTAGTGCATTTTTACCATAAATATATAATTTGGATATTTTCTCTGGTGGTGGGGGGCTGTCAGGTATGCTGTACAGGGCCCCATGATATCTAACAGTGGCCCTGGGTGTATGCTTGTGTCTGTGCCACCTGTATAGTTAGGAAAAACCTTGAACCTCTGCTATGTACCTCAATGGATCTAGGAATTGGATATGTTTTTCAACTGAAAATACAACAATTATTAGTAATGTTTCCCCAGCAAATGAGGATCAGCTCCTCGGTGGAGAACAGCGATCTCGCCATGTCCAGATGTGGTCTGGAATTCCACAAAAGAACAATTCACAAAACTAAAAAACAGACTTGCAAATTACCACTAAACTCTCCTAACTACACTCCCATCCACTAACACTCCCCACTACCACTTCCGGGTGTGTGCAAACATCCTTCCGCCAACATCATGACGTATTTCCGGTATGACAGCTGCTCTAGCGCCTCCTCCAACAGCCGTCTTGGCGTTTATTTGTGCACCATAGCAATTTTACATGCGGTTCGATTGTGTATATGACATTCGCAAATATATGTTTTGTAGTTCTATTGTAGATTTGGCATTGGTGAATGTATGCTTGCAGCTATACTGTGTATGACATTGGCAAATATATATTTGCCAGTAAAGGGCCAAAGTCAACATAAATTGGGGGCCCAATGTATTACTGTTAAGAGGATTGTAGAAAAAAGAATAGCTAGTTGCACATTGAACACAACCTATTCATTGGTACATAACATGGTCTTGTGGTGCAATAGGGGGCTTTTTTGGTTTGTTATTTTGGACATACTTGAACATGTGCGCTCTAACAAGGAAGATTTGGGCATATTATATAGCTAGCAAAATAAGTGTTAGGGGTGCTAGTACATTTCAGATACTTATATAGCGCTGTCAATTTACCACATCTATATGTAAAGCACTCAGTCCCTAACTCTCAAGGGGTGTACTAAGAGCCCTAATGTACATTCATACATATACTAGGGACAATTTTGACAGGATCCAATTAACCTACCAGCGTGTCTTTAGAGTGTGGGAGGAAACCAGAGTACCCAGAGGAAACACAGGCACAGGGAGAACATGCAACCTCCAGGTGCCATGGCTGGGATTTGAACCAACAACCCCAGTACTGCCAGGTGGAAGTGCTAACCATTTAGCCACTGTGCAACATTCAACTAGAACATGAAATAATCCCCCCCAAAAAATACATAGTACAAATGTTTATTGATCAAATACACATTCCACATTTGGACAGCAACAAAAAGCTACATTCAATATCTTGGTGTGAAAAAGGAAAAAAAAAAAAAGCAGGATTGATGTTGCTAAAATAGAACGGTCCTGCTCATAAAAGCTTACAATCTAAAAGATTATACTTATAACGGTTAATATGAATCACTTGGGCTTATTTCACAAAACTAGCTGCAGATCGAAATATCAATATAAAAATACATACGTGCCAAAATAAAAACACCTCCCTCCTCCCCAAATCCCCCACACATACATTTCTCACCATGTTTGTCTGAAAACTGCAATTCATTCTAAATAGAGCAAACTTGGAAGAGCAGAGCAATGGACATGTGTTAGGATTACAATGCAAAGATAATAAACACAATCATTGTACAATAACACACAAACACACCTTAGAAGGAAAAACAGGCAAAAATCAGCCAATCAGCAGCGTGTGAGTGTGGCTGGGGCAATTGCATCTCTTTTATATAAGGTAATGGCCACAAGGCCAGCACCACTGTCATTCATTTGGTCAAGAAGGCCACACCCACCTGATTTTCAGAGAAATTCACCTTAATTCTCTTCCCACCTGCGTTAACCCTTGGTATACAGGCCCCACAAATCCGAGTCAGAAAGAAAGCCACAGTGAAGTGTACCTGTGCAGCATACAACAGAACATTGAACAGGGATGTGAATGGGAACCCTATTGGCAATATTTCTTGGTCCTATGGGCACAATTCACTCCAGATTATCGCATGAGTTAAGGCAGTCACGACCACATCTCGCATGCAATACTGAAAATGTCAATTCACTTTTCTAGTATGCGGCATTTTCCATAAATCGGAAAAACACTCAGGAAATCAAACATAAAAAGGCCTTACACCGCGGTCACATCAAAGCCGATTTAGAAATTGTGTGACGTACAGTGAAGATGCTGATTTCATTTCGATTTGCAAGACATCTGACACAGATATCTATGCAAATCGTCACAAAAGTAGTACATGTACTACTTTAGAAATCTGTGTCGGAAACGCACCCATGTGACTGCTCTAATAGCAGACAATAGGGTGCGACTTGGCATACGATTTGCAAGTCGCATGCCATGCAAATCTCATGCCAAGTTGCATCCAGGGTGCACGATTTCAGGTGCGATTTGGGAATTGAAATTGTACCTGATATCCGATCTAATGAATGTGGATGTGAGAGTCTTAACGTAAGCGATTTGCTGCAGCACAATTTCAAAAGTAGTTCTCGTCTAACTTTTTCAGCATTTTGTAGTGATTTCACATATAGACTACAATAGAAATCGCAATGCAAAACACAATTAAAAATGCAATAACTCATTGGTAAATCTACAGAAAACACGGTGAAATTGCCAACAAAAAGCACAATTTTTTAAATCACACTAGTGTGAACCAAGCAGGCAATTCAACAAAGGAAATAAAATCTTTGAAGGAATGTGGTATCTGCATGCTCAGATAAGGGTCCTGTTATGGATTTTGGGGGGGGGGGGGGGGACGACTCCATGCCAGTATTTTTTTTTTTTTTTTTTAATCCTTTTCTTTCTCTTGCTCACTCTTTTCATGGTTTGACAAACTTTCCCAAAAGGAGGTGGAGTGCAAACCAGCATTATCCAATCAATCATTAGTCCAGGCCCTTTTCTCATCCATCGTTTGTCATTCACATAAGGTGCTACTTTAAAGGTGTTTGAACAGACAAGGCCTCATTCTAATTCACATTCTAGGGATCATTTAAACAGGAAGCAAAGATGCTGCCACAAGCACATGTATGTTAGGGTAGTCACACAGAGATCATGCAAATTCATTGCTGTGGTTGGGATTCAAACCAACAACCTTAGTGTTGGGAGGCAGTAGTGCTAACCACTAATCCATGGAGCTGTTGAACACTAATCTTGCCTGTATTTCTGTGGTGTGAATCAACCCTAAATCCCCTGGGCAAGGTCAGTGTAACTAGCCAGATATCTCCAATGTGACACAAATGTTGTGCTATGTTGCCAGTTTCAGATGTATGTTGGTTCTATGTATCCCAATACAAAGGATTGCAATACTAATACAGGCGTACCTCGGTTTACCATCGCCTCGGTTAAGGTAAATTTTTGGTTTACGAATGAAAATCCATTGAAAATAATGCTTTGGTTTACACAATTTTAATAATTTTTTTCGCAATACAAAGTGTATGTCGGCGCTGATTTTCAAATGCAAATGCCAGCTTTTTTTTTCTTCACTATAGTTCACAAGCTTAGAAGTCACTTTCCCCCGAAGTTACAGGAAAACTTTGTATCTTTTAATAAACTCATAGTAAACATTGTTTCCTTTAGGGATAAAATTTCCAAGAAAACTTTCTTTTAGCTGGGGGAAATGACAGGTGAATTTTTGAGCTGTAGTGAAGAAAAAAAAAGGGAAAATTACATTTAAAAAAAACAGCACCATAATAAATAAAAAACTGCATGGGGTCCCCCCTCCCATCCACACCAATCCATTCGGGTCTGGTATGTATCTTAAGGGGTAACTCCACACCAAAATGTAAAAAAAAAACGGCATGGGGTCCCCCCTCCCATCTACACCAAGCCCTTCGGGTCTGGTATGGATATTAAGGGGTAACTCCACACCGAAATTAAATAAAAAAACAGCTTGGGGTTCCCCCCAAAATCCATACAGACCCTTATCCGAGCATGCAGCCCGGCAGGTAAGAAAAGGGGATGGGGATGAGCGAGCGCCCCCCTTCCTGAACCATACCAGGCCACATGCCCTCAACATGGGAGGGTGCTTTGGGGCAGGGGGGCTCCCCCCCCAAAGCACCTTGTCCCCATGTTAGTGGGGACAAGGTCCTCTTCCGTTAGTGGAATAATTGGTCGGCCGTTTTCGGGATTTTGGCACATTTTGTTTATCAGTAAAGTTGGAAAAATATTTTTCCAAATTTACTGATAAAAAAAATGTGCCAAAATCTCGAAAAACGGCCGACCAATTAACCCACTAACGGACCAAAAATCGTTTGATGTTCTTTTCAGCAGAAAAATCGGCCGATTGTAGACCCATCTATGGCCTGCTTTAGATGGGTCTACAATCGGTCAAAAAAAAATCGGCTGATTTTCGGGCCGTTAGTGGGTTAATTGGTCAGTGTGGCCATTTTTTTTGAGGGATTTTGAAACTTTTTTTAATCGGTAAATTTGGATAAAAATCGGCCAATTTTGCAGATTGGCCGATTTTAGCAGCAATGATCTGCAAATTGGCTGATCTTTTTACAGATAAAAAAATCTGTGCATAAGCAATGACCTGCAAGAAAAAGAAAAAATGCAGGCCATAGATGGGGCGAAAACTGGATGTTTAAAAAAAAAAAAAAAAATTAAAAATCGGTTTGTTCAATGGGCCGACGTTACCACCAAAGGTAAAAAAAATTGTCCGATCTTCGCCCCGTGTAGACAAATATAATAGAGAAGTAATTACTTCTGTCCCTGCAGAGAGCTGCGCTATTATATTTGACATTAAAAAGTATAAAGGTTGCAACATTGTATCATATGTATCCGAATAAAAACATCTATATCCGAAATGGATACAAATAGATACAATGTTGCAGTCTCTATACTTTTTAATGTCAAATATAATAGCGGAGCTCTCTGCAGGGACAGAAGGAATGTTTCAGCTGTCATCGGGGTTTCCCACTGACAGCTGAATTTTAAATTATTTTCAGTGAATTAAATAAATAATTTAAAAAAAACAGCGTGGGGTCCCCCTCCCATCCATACCAAGCCCTTCGGGTCTGGTATGGATGTTAAAGTTGTAACTCCACGCCGAAAATGAAAAAAAAAAACAGCGTGGAGACCCCCCCAATATTTATACCAGACCCCTTATCCGAGCATGCAGCCCGGCAGGTCAGGAAAGGGGGGGGGGGGCGAGCGAACCATACCAGGCCACATGCCCTCAAACATGGGGGGTGCTTTGGGGCAGGGGGGCCTCCCCCCCCAAAGCACCTTGTCCCCATGTTGATGGGGACAAGGGCCTCTTCCCCACAACCCTGGCCGGTGGTTGTGGGGGTCTGCGGGCGCAGGGGGCTTATCAGGGAATCTGGAAGCCCCCTTTAATAAGGGGGCCCCCAGATCCCAGGCCCCCCACCCTAAACATGAATGAGTCTGCGGTACATGGTCCCGCTACTGATTCACAAAAAAACAAAAATATGTAAAAAAAAAAAACACAGTACAGGGTCTTTGACAAGTCCTTTAATAAAACAATGTCCCCTGAAGTAGATCCAATGTCAATCACGGCGGCGGCAATCCAAAAAAAAAAAAAAAAAAAAGTTCCGGTCCCGTCGGAGGCTTGCAACCTTTTGAAGAAAGTCTCGCTGACAGCTCTTAAAAAATAGGTTAGGGGCTGGGCCAGCCGGGGACATCATCTGAGTGACCCTGCCGCATGTGACATCATTGGTGTCACATGGGGCGGGGTTTCTTGGATGATGTCCCCGGCTGGCCCCACCCCTTACCTATTTAAGAACTGTCACACCCTGTCTCTCCACTGAGGCTAACCAGCTTTATGCAGGAGACAGTCTGACAGTTCTTATATAGGTAAGGGGCGGGGCCAGCCGGGGACAGCAAGCATGTGACATGGGGCAGGGTCACTTGGATGATGTCCCCGGCTGGCCCCGCCCCTAACCTATTTAAGATCTGTCAGCGAGACTTTTTTCATAAGGCTGGAAGCCTCCGATGGGACCGGAACTTTTTTTTTTTTTCGGATCGCCGCTGCCACAGTGATTGACGTTGGATCTATTTTGGGGGACATTGTTTTATTAAAGGACTTGTCAAAGACCCTGTACTGTTTTTTTTGTGTTTTTTTTTTTTGTTTTTTTTTTTTTTTTTTACACAACACTTTGTTTTTTTTGTAAATGAGTAGCGGGACCATGTACCGCAGACTCATTCACGTGGGGGGTGGGATCTGGTTGCGTCAGTGTCATATGACTTCCTCAGGGCCCTGTGACGCAACGCGTCGGGCCCCCAACGTAGTGATGCATGTCCGGCGTGGCGGCCACTTTGGTACACCTGTGTATACCCTTGTACACCCATGCAGATTAGATCCAAAAGCGTGGGATTGGAGCCCTGAACTGTTATCACTATTTTTAATGTAAGTGCGCTTTCTATTGCTTGTGACATTTGATAATAAACAGATTACACAATGGAAGCTTGTGTTTTATGTTTCATATGAGTGATTGGCGCAGCATTTGATCCTACTTGGAGAAAGGAGCCAGTGTTGAAGTGCGGATCCCTGGGGGGAGATTCCTATACAATGTGAGCAGTTATTTGGAGTGATACTTACCTGGAGGATCTGTGAGAGGGATCCTAACAAACGCTTTGACTCGCAAGGGTCAAATCCTTAAGGTGAGAGGCTGATTCAGCCGGTGTTCGGATGAGTTCAACTATCAACTCACTTTTATACACAAATATCAGCACGAGTGTTTTGTGTTCACCTGAGTGTGATCATCTTTAAGTTTGGACTTTATATACACGGAAATATAAATTTTTTATGTTTAGGTGCATGTACCGAGTTCACATATATGCACGTTTTGATTTTCTTCACTTTATGGGGTTTATATATATGTGTTAATACACATTGTTGTTATGTGTGTTATGTGTGTTATGTATGTATGTATATGTATATATGTGTATATATATATATATATATATATATATATATATACATACTTTACAATGAGCATGTAATATTCTTTAATGATATGATTATGTTCACTTTAGTTATTTAGGTTTTATCACATATATGCTTTATGTGCATGATTTCACATTAGTGGATATAGATTTTTTATTTATTTATTAGGTATTTTGGTTCACGTTTGTTTTAATTTAAGTGAGTAGCGCTACATTGGTTCCACATGTGTTTATGCTGAAGATCATTGGTATATGATTTAATGTGAGCAGCTTCTTGTAATTATTCAACTAATTAATTTTTGAAGGCTTTCTGAGCGCAGGAGGTTCACACCATTACCTTATTAGATCAACTTCCAGAATCTATAACCCCCTCTGCTGATACATCTTTGAGAAGGTTTCTACAGATATTGCCTTACTCATTGGGCAATCAGAGTCATTATTGTAGCAATTGGGTAATAGTGTATATTTGCCAATGATTGCTCCTCCTGATTAATGGGGCTTCCTTCTCTAATGTAAATATGTTTTGCCAAGCTGTATCAGTTTGTCTGTTTTTAATTCTTTGGGGACCAAAGATTTCAAGTGGGTAACCCATTGAAATGTTACTACTCGCAAAACATTAAAATGGACATTGGATGGCGGTGGCCTCCTATTCAGGGTTACTTACATTGATAGAATAGCCCTCTGGAACTTGTATTTCTTAACAGCAGAATTTGGCTGACACGCAGAGTGCTTGGGACTACATTTCCCAGGACAGGTAGTTTATGGGAGGGGGCATATAAATATCAAAGCCCGGGAGGTTGGTGTCTTGGAAATTCGTTTTTAACGAATTTCTCCTTACCGTGAGTGTCCGCAGTTGGATGCGCAGTAATCTCCCATAAAGCTCTGCAAAACTTCGCTTACCGCGACTGCAGCTAAACTTCATGATTCCTGTGCCTCCAACTGGTTTAGCTCTGTTGAGATGTGGGGAAAATGGAGCTCCCGTTACCCAGGAATGATCACACGACACTCTCAGGTTGCAGTTGGAATTCACTCTGAGACCTGCTCCAACCCCAGCCTCCTGTTTTATTACAAGCACACACACGCCCCCCCCCCACACACAGGGGGGGGGGGTCAGGTCAATCCCCTCCCACAGAACAATGTATAGGGAGTGTCTATACAAAGAATGTACATCCTGATTGGAGCGTAGCCTTTCCTCTTATCTATACTGGGAACCAGTTCTCCCCCCCCTGGTGAGCTCTCTGTGGAGAGCAAGTTTCCCATCATATACATGCTATCAGCTCCTAGTAGTATGTCCATTCCCTGTACAAGCATCCCTTAGATTAAACAGTGTCAGTCTGTATCTGAATGGGCCCGATACGATCTTTATTAAAACACATCCTTCCAGATACAGTTCAGGTCGGTACTGGTTTGTAAGATATTCATGAGCCTACACGCGGAGTTCGCACTGCCCGGCGCCTGGCCATACGAAGTCCATGTGGTACTATGCTGCTGATATCTGGATACAGGCCCGCGGCCTACCGCCGGCGGCATTCGCATCGAATGCCGTGGTGGTATACACGCCGGTCTATAAGCGCAGATCTGCTATCTCATCCATTACCGAGCTGAGTACTGTAATATATACATTGTAAATGCGCATGGCCTAATTGCAGCCTTCAGAGCTTTAATTAAACCACAGGAGAGACATATGAATAACACTAATATATGACACATTTAAAGTTCAACCTGTAAATAGAAAGTTTCCATGACAGTGGTCAGGAGAGTGCAGAGGGAGATTGGAGGAGAAAGAGGTGTGCTGATGGTTGAAGCACTGAACTAGGCTGCGGAGCCAGGACTGGAGGGAGAGAGACAGCAGAAAGGATCCACTGACCGTCTAGCCTGTCATGAGGTCAAGCAGGCCACTCTGACAGCAGAAGACAGAGTGGGATGCCAAGTCTGAACCAGAGGGCCTGTGGACTGTCTCTGTTTGTCGGGAAAGATGGACCATGGCAATCCGTTGAACCAAATTAATCAGGTAAGAGAGACCCATTCATCCACTAACTAAAGTGACCATTGATAGTTCATCACTTCAGTTATCTACCTGCACATAGTTGTGAACATTTCATACAGTTGCCCCAGTTTGGACCTAGTTATACCAGCACCATTGTTGGAATATACATGCAGTACAGTTATTATCCAAGCTGACTGCAGGATTTATAGACCAAGATACAGCAGTGTCAACTGAATCAACAAGTTCCCTTTCCTTTCTGCAGAGCAGGATTCCTACTACTGTTCATCTTTTCACTTTGACATCCAGAGGGCGTTATCTTTGTTCACAGACATTTATGCCAATTGTTGCTATTTACCGTTTCAAGCTCATTTCATGGTTGCAGCTCTTAGAGGGAACCTTGCACTAATTCTTCACCATCAATCAAGGGAGTGTTAGCTCTTCTCCTTTTCCCTCACTATCTTTGGTGTGACTACCCTGAGGAACTATCATCCATCCCCAGACACAACTTCACACCAATTGGGCCCCAACAAGCATCCAGAAGATATTATAGAGCTCTTAAAAGGGACATTGCCGATTATAACTGAGAATTCTCTTTTTTTTTCATGTTTAATTCTTGTTATCTAGGTTTGAGGACCCACAGTGACCTTATCCATTATTGATAGTCCTTCCTGCTCACTGGGGATTCAATATTCCCCTCAGACTAAAGGTAGTGGATTATTTCCAAAAGAAGGACTGCTAACAGTTACTGTTGCTTTATTGTGATTGTTGATACTTTTGCTCACAATTGCCAAAAGTGATCATATTTGCTGTCTATATTAGTGTTTTGTTATTCTTGACTCCAATTATGATATAAACTGCAATTTGGTTTATACTACTCCGTGTGTGAGTTCATTTTCCAGGTGTTCAACAAGAGGTCCAGATTAACAGGGAACCCAAGAAATAAATTACTAAACAACCCTCAAGGGGGCAGTGCTACATGTGCTTTCTCCTTTCTCCTCTCCACTGGCTTGGTGATGTATTAATCTAGGAACTCCCACATGTCATGCTTTTTAAACGCAACATTAACCGCCTCCCTCCCGCCCGCCATATAGTGTAATGACGGGCGCAAGGCGGTTCTCTCGTTCTGGGAGGACGTCATATGACGTCGTCCCATTCTAACCGCGCATGCGCGACTCCAGGAGCGCGCAGCGCGACGATCGGTGGTGTGCTGTATCTCTCGAACACAGCGAATCACCGATCAATGGAAAGAGCCGAAGATGTCGGCTCGGTCATGTGATCAGCTGTGTCCAATCACAGCTGATTGCATGTAAATAGATAGGATGCCAATTTCTGCTGAGATCTAGACAGACCCAAAATTGGGCAATGCAGAAGATTCCTCTTTTTTTTTTTTTGTTCATGTATGCCCAGCATTAGGAGTGTGGGGCATGGCTGGATCTAGGGGGGT